CCCCCCCCCCCCCCCCCCCCCCCCCGCGTTTTGGGGCTGTAAGGGAGAAAGGAAGAGGGTTTTCACCCTCTCCGCCTTCGGCAACCATCCAACACGCCCCCCAAGGTCGGCGGACTCTAAACCCTAAATCCTAAACCTTAAATCCTAAACCCTAAAACCTAAATCCTAAACCGAAGCCCTAAATCCTCAACCCTAAACCTTAAATCCTAAACCCTAAACCTTAAATCCTAAACCGAAAACCCTAAACCCTAAATCCGAAATCCTAAACCCTTAACCCTAAACCCTAAATCCTAAACCCTAAAACCTGAAGAGGGTTCCAGGCCAGACAGAATAGTCCAAGGACTGAAATCTGATGATTGTGGCTTGACATTATGGTAGTGCTTATCCGAGCTGTAGTCTAAGCCCCTTAAGAGGGCTTAGGGTCTAAGGTTTAGGTTTTAGGATTTAGGGTTTAGGGTTTAGTGTTTAGGGATGTACAGGGGAATATTATAGGGATTCTTGAGGGGGATGCTAGGAGTTTAGACTATCTTACATCTGTAGCACAAGTTGGGTACTACTTGGAACCTTGGTGCTGCTGTTTGGAATAGATCGTAAGCTAAGCCTTATAGATGGGGTTTCTCACAGCTAATCGTACCATTCTGGGATCCAAATAACAAGGATTATAGTTTGTTGGGGTCTATATTTTGGTCCAACTATTTTGGGAAGCCCCCCGATCATGATCCCAAACCCCAAAACAGGGTTTGCTGCTCAAGGCCCTGCACCTGAGACCACTAGCGCTACTCAGAATGGGGCATTCGGCGTGCTTGATGTGAAAATTCTTGAAACAGTCATAGCTCCTTCAAATCAATGAAATGGTATTTCCCGAAATAGGGAGACCCCAATGTAGATCCCAAAATACTATAGTCCTTATTATGGAGACCCTCCTAATTTGGGGAAATCCATAAATCCAGGCAAATTTCGAGATTCTCCCGCTCAGCGTGTTGCGGGCTCTGCCAGGCCGGCAGGCAGCTCTCCCTGCAGATCTTCAAAGATGGCAAGGAGGCCACGCCCAGCCGGGCCCCTTTCTTGGGGGATGGGTCTCATGTGAGCCATAGTAGAAACTCCTGAGAAGGGTTATACAAGGGATTATATGGGGGAGTATTACAGGGGATATGAAAGGGGATGCTCGGAGTTTAAACTATAGCTCATGTTGGTTTGAGGGGGCCGGCCTTGAAACCTTCGGAACTCATCCTAGAGACGAGCATGGGTTACCAGGACACCAAACTCACATCAGCTAGGTTATCACCGCTGTTCTTCATGTTTCTGACCCTTCCCTCCTCACCTTGCCCTCACCGTCCCCTTGAGGGTTTAAGGTTTAGGGTTAAGCTTCCCCACACATTCAGACTGAACCCCATAACGCCATTTTAAAACGGCAGCGATCTACAAATGGCTTCCATTCAAGTCTCCCGTTCGTCTGGGGGAGGGCAGGGGTTGTTACTGAGGAGCTTGCGGCTTATGTGATAGAGCTTGGGGTTGCAGGTTGTATGTCCCTAAACCCTAAGCCTTAAAATACTATAGTAGTTTCCATTTCATTTTCCATTATCCCCATATAACCCCTATATTAACATACCCCTATATAACCCCTATATAACCCATTATAGTAGTTTCCAGTTTATTTTCCATTAGCCCTAAGGTTCAGGGTTAAGGGGGAAGTCTGCTAAGTCGGGAAGGAGGGAATGGGTTGCAGGCGCTGTTGCCGCAGGGATCTATACCCGCATTCCAAACTAGGCATGTATAGATATTTCGCTGATTAGGGGGGGCTTAGTGGGCCTAGGCTGTAGGGGGTTGAGGCTGTAGGGCCTGTAGGGTTTAGGGCTTAGTTGGGCGGTTCAGGGTCCAGGGTTTAGGGTTTGGGGTCATGATGGGGGATTATGCTACTTCGGAGGAAGGTATACAGAAGTGAACTGCTTCTCCTAAACCATCACTGGTAGGGTTTGAGCGCAAGTCTTATTTTCCACAGTAAGTCAAGGGCCTAGAGAAATTCGTACGGTATCGGAGTACATTTGGCTTTGTTTATTTGAGGGTCAGGGAGGGATAACTTTTGTGCCAATAGTTCAAGATGCGGCTAAAGACGAGAGTCTACTTCGTACTTGGTAGGGTGTCTTGCGAAAGGCAGATGTTTCGAGGACCCACCCAAAATTGAATCAACCGCCATGTGCGCACGGCACATGTTCATGCATTTCGTGGTCGCTCAATGCTAGCCCAAAATCTTACGCGTGCAAAGCGGCCATGCGGAGCACCCATGCCTGTTTGTGTGCGGTTAAACAGTGCGTTGAAATCTCTGGTCATTCGGGTCTGAAGGCTCCAGGGCTCTGTATCTGAAAACGTAAAATTTGGCATTTTCCTACCAAGCCATAGCAGTTATAAACAAATCGAAGTCGACGCCCCTCTACATGACAGATGTAGTATGGCAGCAGTACCTACCTTAGTCCTTCATTCGGAAGTAGCAGCTGAGAAGCTCGATCATTGTGTACTGAAGTGTTTCGGGTTTAGGGTTTAGGGAGGCACTTGCGCTGAATCTTGCTCCAAGCCCTGAACCCCCCACGCTTGCCTCGCCCAATCCCCACGCCTGACGTCACAAAGCCGAGCTACACAGAAATAGCGCGCAAACCCGAGCTCCAGAAGCATTGGTTTGTAGGAGTGGGTACGTGCAGACCTACACCCACCGGCAAGTTTCTTTAAAAACTCAGCCCTCCGCATGCGCCCGCTAGTTTTGACTGGGGCAGGCGTATGCCCTCGACCGTCATCACCAGCCAATGGCCTGAGACCAGGCGCATATCATGAGTAACAGATTTGGGCGGCTTCTTAGCAGCAGCAGCAGCAGCACCAGCAGCATTGGCACTGGCGGCGGCAGCATCAGCGCCAACGCTGGTAGTGGGGTCTTGTGTTTGAAGCAACTTTGCTAAGGACAGGCACGTCACCCCTGAGGAGGAGTAGGAGGCGGAGGAGGATTGGTAATAGTTAGTAGCAGTAGAAGAAGCAGTAGCAGTAGTAGCAGTAGCAGTGGTGGGAGTAGTGTCGGCCTTTTTCACAGCGGTAGCACCACATCTAGGGCAGAATGATGCGAAAAGTTCGAACAGCATATGAACCTGCGAAAGAAGTGCCAGAATATATTAGTTCAGAGAGAGTAGCAGCAGTATCTCTGGATCTGGACTGTACCGTATATAACGAATACTAAAAATTCGAACAATCGTACCAATAAGATTAATATTCAAAATACGACTCTTACTAATATATTAGTTTTTAATTCTTCTACATTCCTTTCATATTATAACATTTAAGATCTGCGCGCTGCTCCTGAGCGCAAGACTGGCGTGCTGCTGAGGCAGCTCGAGACCAGTCCTCAAAACCTAAACCCTCAACCCTTAAGCCAACACCCAATACCCTAAACCCTAAGTCCTAAACCCAAAACCCTAAACCCTAAACCCTAAGCCTTAAACCCAAAACCCTAAATCCTCAGTCCCAGTCCCAACTTGGAGGGTTGTATATGGGGAGTCCCGAAGTTGGGTCCCAGTACGGTTTAGGGTTTAGGGTTTCGGGTTGGTACGCCTAGACAATAGGTTCCGTAAAGTAATGCATAACCACAAGGGGCCCATAATTTTGAGGAAAGCCCATATGTCTTGAAGGGTTCGAAGTTACGTCCTCAGTTCCCGGAGGCTCTAAGTAGACCCCACGCACAAGACCTTGGATGCTCAAGCCCCAGCCCACTGCTGGAAGCAGCAGCAGCCTCAACACCCAACACCCTAAACCCTGAACCTTCAACCCTGAACCTGAAGCCTTGAACCCTAAATCCTAAGCCCTCAACCATGAACACTAAACTGCGCAATTATCGGCCCTAGGCCTGCAGCTGATAGCCTCCAGTTTCGAACCCCTAAGCCCCCCAGCTCTTTACCCGAGATCCCAAACCCAAACCTTAAACTCTTGATCCCAAGCCAGAAACCCTCGCTCTGGTAGGCGTTTTGTAAGGGATTATAGTATCGTCCTGAACATAGAGCAAGACAGTATCTTCCTTTGGAATGCAAGAAGGAGGGAGCCTCATTTGATAAGAAGATGATAACCCTGTTTTGTTCAAACACCAAACAAAGTACTCTTCAATCTAAGTCTTGAAGCAGGCAGTCTTCGCTTAGCGAATTCTGGTCGCGAGCTTCAAGCGTTCCAAGGTCCTCGACCTTGGGTTCTGGAGCGATATGCTGGGATAAGGGCTTTGAGCTTAGAATTTTAGGGTTTTGCTCCACTCTGCAACATTTGGATAATATTTATAAAGTAGTTACAAATAGCGCTGACTATGAACCCTAATATGGGCTGTTACAGGATGGGGGCAATGCCTTACCCGAAACCTGAAATCCTAAACTTTGAGCCTTAAAGCCACCCTAAACCCCTAAACCCCTAAACCATAAACCCTAAACCCAAAACCCTAACCCCTAAACCGCTAAACCCTAGGGTTTAGGGTCAAAGGTCTTGATGGCCTGAGGCAGCACCAGGGGTTCAGGGTTCCCACTTTGCTGCACAGCCCCATCCCCCCTCCCTTCTACTGGGTGTAGGGGCTTTAGGGTGTAGGGGCTTTAGGGTGTAGGGGTTTAGGGTTTAGGGGTTTAGGGTTTAGGGTTTAGGGTGTAGGGGTTTAGGGTTTAGGGTTTAGGGTGTAGGGGTTTACGGTTTGGAGGTGTTGGGTTTAGGGTGAGGGTTTAGGGTTTTCATGCGTTCCCCCACTAACCCCTTAGGTTCCCCCTAGATTAAGGCTATTCAAGGGTAGCTAAGCCTAATTAAGCTTAATTAAGAGGGAACCTGGGGGGTAGTATGGAGGGGGGTAGTAATGGAATCCATGAGTTTTTATTAAAGAACTTAAATTGAGTTACCAGAACATGGGTATATAGGGTTTAAAGTTTAGGGATTTAAG